TGTAGCATGCCTTAAAAGCAATTACTATTCCACTACTGTTCACACGAGAAAATTTACAAGCCTGCAATCCAGAGGCAAGTGGGGTAGATGGAAGAAAATGGAGTCGCCCACTAGTTTCCAAGAAGCTTCAGACAAAGTCTAAATGCTTAAAAGACACACATTCATTGTAGCCGACAACAGCCCGGACATGCCTTCATGTCTATTCATGAGACAGAATAATCGGTGAAAAGTAGGTTGGAGGACGAAGAATGGGAAAAAGACAAAAGGAAGAGGCAGAAGAGAGAAGGCCTTTTAAACCCAGAGTTATTTCTGGCCCATTAAAATATCAAAATCCAAATGAAAACTGCTGGTGTCCAAGGAGAACCCTGTCCAAAAGGAACCACAGCTCAAGTACTGTCCACCCAGCGGGAGTAAAGAAAACGTACAGATTTAACACTGATAGCCTAAGAAAGCTGCCCGTAGTTTTATAAATCCAGTTTACACAATTCTCACATTTGATCAGACTTATGGTGTGGCTATTAACATGCTTTTAGGTGGGAAGAAAGAAAACACAAGGGGAGCATTTCAGGTAAAATCGTCGTTGGATGCTACCCCCTAAGAGAATCTTTGAGGTTTCTTCACTTTGAAAAGATAAACATCCCACACCAAGTAACTGCGTCAGGGGAAAAAGGAAAGGGAGATCTCCTGTCTCCTTTCAGGAAATACATCCAGAATCTACTATTTAGGGGGAAAGTGCCGAACACTGTAAATCTGAACATCCTTTGGATTAGGGGCTCCAGTGAGCTGCATGTAAAGGGAGGAACATATGTATAAATGATCAGAAAAGAGCAGGACAAACTCGCCCTCACCACTCCCGGCACACAAACCGCTTCACTGCACCCAACACAGCATCCAACAAAGGGCCTCTCTAGTTCACTGCTTGCCAGAAACGTCTTCCAAAGCTGGTCTCATTAACTGAGCCCTTTCCTGAGCCCCTAAGGTGTTTTCAGAGTCAGCTTGTCTTTCAGCCTCACCTCGCTCAATTTAAAGTTTTAAAAGTTTCATTTTCTTGCTTGGAAAGTGCCCTTTTTTAACCTCTCAACTCAACGGGTTTCCCAAGGTGAAAGTAACTTCACCTGAAAGGCGGCTGCTTTGAACTCGAGAGAGCTTGGAAGGTTTTCTAGCAAAGGACACAAACCTGATCAATAGCGTTATTGAAAACGTGACCAGCTACAGTCCCGTTGGTCTGTGGCTGCCATTTTTACGAAAGCCGTGTACATCCTTTGCGAATCAGCGCTTCCGGAGAGCTATGTCGATGGGGTGTGCAGGCGGCGGGCAGCAGGGTTACCCGTGAGCCACGGTGCCAAACCCCATCAAGCCACAGGAAGAGGCCATGCTGAGTTACTGGCAACGTGGAAAACTCCAGGCACCTCCTTCTCCAATGGACAGCCCAGCTTCTGCGGCTACAATTCACACAGCTTCATTTGCAAATGATTTGGCTATTAAGCATAGGATTGTTCGATGCAAATATTTCTTTCCTGGTGGCACAGCTCAGTTGAAAGGGGAGCCTGAGAATTAGCTAGCTGGATGGGAGAAGAAGGCTCCATTCCAGTTACCAGGGAGGAATAATTGGACACAGGGAGCCTATTGCACCTTTCATTTAATTTGGAGACCTTTCAGCTTTTACTTGCCTTCATTTGCAGCCAATGCTTAGTGAGCTCATTTGTACCTGGTTCATTTTCCTCCTTTTATCTTATCTGTGTTAACATCAACCGTGGAAATGAGGGGCACCATGAATAAAAGATGAAGGTTAACTCAGGACACTCTTTCCTAAGGTACTGTGAATCACTTAAAAATGAATGTGTGTGCACCACAGAAAGGGCTTAGATATACGCCTGGCCCTACAGCATCCCTGATCAGCACCTGCCCTCCCACCCAAGGAGCTGTAGTTTTTAGATGTTTTAACTGGTCCTACCTTTTCTCCAAGAGAGCACTGTCTAGACTGCAATCCGCATGGAATCATTATTCCCAGAACTGGTGGAGAGTAGGCCAGCTCATTAATGCACAAGACTAAGGATGCATAAACTCCACTAATCTGACTTTTTAGAGAGTGCAATCCTGCTTGCCGTGAAAAGAATGTGCTGTAAAAGAAGACTGCATGTCTCAACATAGATGCCTGGTGAACACAGAGATGCCTGCTTTGTCCAAAAACACTGTGCTGGGGGAGGGATGGTGGGTGAGAAGGGGATTAGTCCCAAAATGCCTGTCTGGGAGGAACCTCCAGGAGCTACAGAACTTAAATTCTAAGTGTATCATGCATGTTATGCTCTTTAAAAAATCCCTTCTCTTGTTTATTTCGTATATGTGGCACCGCTCCTTAATTAACAGTTGCACATGCTCTTAAGCTGATTTTGAATATTTCATTACTTCCAACTGTACAAAACGTTAGTGTCTTGAAAGTTTTGCATTTCTTTCCTATATAGTTTCCTCTCAGCCAAAGCTATTTTTTTCTCCTTACCCTCGCCTCTTTCTTTTATCTTCTCTCTCTCTTTTCTCCCCCGTGGACCAATAAAAAAAACCCTACTGCATTCTTCTCTTTCTGCTTCATATCCACCACCACCAAGCCTTCCTTTCAGTTTGGGAAGCATCAAAGGAAGACTGTGTTCTGAGCCGTTTCTCTGCCCGTCTGTGCTAACTCTGTGCCAGTTCAATCCAATACCTCACACCAACCGGCTAGAAGCTGGAAGAAACTGAAACGCACGGCTCTTCATAGCCCGTCCCCTTAAAAGGTTAATTAATAATAATGCTCAGTATTTTGCTTACATAAGACCACACATTTTCACAGGTAGGGCAACTTCCAAGTTGTAGAAGAAGGAAAAAAGACTTTGGGGTTTACGATAGCTAGTGGGAAGCAGCCACATAGCACAGGGAGATCTGCTAGGTGCTTTGTGACCACCTAGAGGGGGTGGGGGGTGAGTGGGTGGGGATAATGAGGGTGGGAGGGAGGGAGACGCAGGAGGGAAGAGATATGGGGATATAATGTATATGTATAGCTGATTCACTTTGTTATAAAGCAGAAACTAACACACTCTGTAAAGCAATTATACTCCAATAAAGATGTTTAAAAAAAAAAACTAAACCTAAGACCCTACTAGAATATGATAAGCAATAAATAAATATTATTTTAAAAAAAGACTTTGGGGTTTAAAATGATGGCATACTGAAATGTAAGGGTCTTTGCTTCAGAATACAAACCACGTCTTTTGGGGGCAAGAGTACACAAACAGGATCACAATAAGAACCCAACTTAAAACATCAGATGATATCTCTAATCTTGGTTATAATAAAGACCATACTATAGATGACAAGCTTATTGATTTCTTCGTGGGGGAGGGAACATGTGAAGAAAGCCCTTCATCGCGAAAGCATGAAAAGAAAAGATGGGAGCAATGACTGGTCCTTTTATTCATGAAGCAGGAAATGATGAATAGAAATGAAGGCAGCGGGCTTCCCTGGCGGCGCAGTGGTTGGGAGTCCGCCTGTCGATGCAGGGGACACGGGTTCGTGCCCCGGTCCGGGAAGATCCCACATGCCGCGGAGCGGCTGGGCCCGTGAGCCATGGCCGCTGAGCCTGCGCGTCCGGAGCCTGTGCTCCGCAACGGGAGAGGCCACAACAGTGAGAGGCCCGCGTACCGCAAAAAAAAAAAGAAAAGAAAAGAAAAGAAAAAAAAGAAATGAAGGTAGCGATTGCCCTTAAGAAATGGATTTTTAAAGCCACACAGGCAGAAAAATTAAGCTGGAGAGGTATAGAATAGCTCCGTCCTGAGGTTATGAAAGCCAAACTGAGATATCTGGATGAAAGCATGGGACGTTTGTGATTTCTAGACGTACAGATTGTCCAGTTTACTTGGCGGAAGAGGAGGGATGATGGCGTCTCGGAGGCAGGATGTCAGGAATTTGGGGGAGAGGAAGGCAACAGTCCCACGATATGTCACAAAGCCCAAGATTTTTTTTCCACTATATTTGTGGAAGAGGAACAAGAAAAGTGAAAAACTACGCAATCCAGCCTCATTTGCAGAACGCTCGCGCATGCGCACACACTCAGGCGGCAATATACCAGCCTCAAGAACTAACACCTGTTCTAACCCGGTGCCTGATGGCTTTATGCACCTGTAGCCTCCAAGGAAAAGTGTGCCATCGCAGCAGCAGCAGGCCGGGCTGCGCCGAGGACCTCATGGCGGGCACCAGGATGCAATGGCCCGGTGCCAGAGTGTCCAAAGAGGGTCCTAGAGAAGGGTAAGGAAAAGGAAACGGGCAGTCCAGCTGATACCTCGGACTGCAGAAAGACAGAACCACAGGGCAGGGCAGTCTCGACTCAGTTACCAGAGGGCTTCCTCTTAAAGGGGGTCATCTTTAGAGTCTGTAAGGGCCTTTGCGGGGTGCGGGAAGAGATGGAAGGAGGACCCCTTAGAAGTCAGGGTTTTCTCTAGTAACCATTTCCGTGCCAGCGGACTGTACGAGAGAAATGTGTCTCTGGGCTGATTTTTAGTTTCCTTCTCCACCGTCCTCCCGATATGGTTCTAGACTCAGAATCACACCTGTGTGCGCAGAAGGGCCTCGGAGACCACCGAGCCCGCCCCCAGTGCGCTGGGTCCCTCCCCGGTCTCTCCTGCAGCCCGGCCCCACGGAGCTCCATCCTCAGGCCGGACAGAGCCCAGCTCCTAGAAATCATCCCCGCGCCTCACACCTGCGCCACCGCCTCGGCCCAATCGTGGGGCCGGTGTATGTGTGTCGGGGCGGGGGAGCAGCAAAGCCCCCGCCAGACTCCCTCCCCGAGTCACAGTGGTCCTCCCACCCCCTCCACCCCCGGGGCCAGCGGGGGGCTGCGGAGCTCTGCGCCCGGAGTCCCGAGTGCGCGCCCGGGTAGGTGAGCACTGCCCAGCGCAGCGGCGTCAGGACCGGCACGCGGGGGCCCCTCCCGCCCGCCTGCCCCACCCCCGGCGGGGCGCGCCGGCCGCTACCTCCTGGAAGAGCTCGAGACTGTAGGTGTTGTCGTCGTCGGCGAAGAAGAGCACGCCGGGCTGCGCGCGCTGGTGCCCGTGCCTCTGGCGCAACCAGGCCAAGCCGGCGTTGCGCTGCTCGGTGGCGCGCGGCAGCCCGGGCCGCTTGTAGCGCCGCGGCGTGGGCACGTGCAGGTGCGTGCTGGGCAGCCCAGCGCGCGCCAGGAAGCGGCTCACCAGCTCGCTGCGCGCAGCCGCGTCCTCCACCAGGATCCAGTGCAGCTGCGCCACCTGGCGGAACGTGTTAGCCAGGCGTGTCAGCTCGGCCTTCTGCACCGGGCGGCTGTAGGTGGGCGTGATGGCATAGATGGTGGGCAGCGGCGGCTCGGGCGGCAGCGGCGGCGGCGGCCGCGACTCGTTGCGCAGCTCCCGGCCGCGCCCCGGGCCGCCCCGGCGGAGCGGGAGGCGGGCGCCCCCGCGGCCCCCGGCGTAGGGCGAGAAGTAGGGGCGCGGGGTGAGCGGGGGCGCGGGCCTACGTGTGTCCACGTCGAGCATGATGATGACGATCAGCATCCAGGGCAGGAGGATGAAGAAGCGGCTGAAGAGCACTGACTTCATGGTGCGCTCTCCCCCGGCCTCTCGGACGCCCCGGACCGGGGCGAGCCGGGGGACCCCAGCGCGCAGTTTGGACGGCGGCGGCGCCCGCGCTCAGGAAGCCGCGGCCCGCGCGCTCTCCACGGGGTGGGTAGCGGGGCGCTGCGGGGGTGCGGAGCCGGGCCTGGGGGATCCGCGCGGGTGCCGAGGAGCTCGGGCTGCAGGGTGGGCGGCGATGCCCCTACTCCGGGGAGTCGGCGGGAAGCGGGACGCGGTCCAGCCGCGCGCTGCCGGCCCCGGAGTTACGCCGAGCGCCGGGAAGGCGGCGATCCCACCGCGCTCTTTCCGAAGAGTGGGACCTGGGAGCCGTCCCGCGGCGCTGCGGGAAAAGGGACTCCAGCCGCAGGCCCCCGATGCGCTGCCGGGGGCACCTTCGAGGGCGGGGGGCAGGCGCCGAGGGCTCTCCTTCGTCACATCCCAGCCCCGGCGGCGAGGACCGAGGGCGACGCCGGGGATGCCGTGCGCCCAGCTCTGCTCGCGCGCCGCAGAGGAAGCCTGCACTCCGATCCCTCGCTCCGCTCTGCTCTTCGGAGAACCGCTCCCGGCTCCGGCAGCAAGATCCCAAAGCCAGGAAAGAAAGAAAAAGCGAGGGGCGGGGGCGCTGCGGACTCCAGCGTCCTCCCAGTGCTCCTGTGGGGAGACAGCAGCGCTGCTACTGGCGGAGAGGGGCCGCGAGGGGGAGGCGGGGAGGGGGCCCGGCCAGCCGGCTCCGGAGGCTGCTGCTGCACCGCCGGCGGGGAGCGAGAGGAGGGTCTCCCCCACCCCGGGCGCCACGGCCTCGGGCAGGGGCTGGATGCTCGCTCGCCCGTCTCCGCGCGCTCTTAGCTGTCTGAAACGCTACAGGGTCTTTGGAGACCAGCCAGGAAAACCCAGGCACGTGCGGAAAACTCGGGAGACCTCGGGTGGAGAGTGAGAGGAGAGGGGAGACGGGAGAGGGCGAAGGATGCCTTCTCTGGCGCCTGGCCGCGGGGTTCGTGTGCTGGGGGTGGACCGCACAGCGCCGACAAAAAGTGCTTTCACCCAAAGGCAGAGCTCAACAGAAGCCCCGGGAGACGGAGGGGTGCCTACACGGGTGTTTGGCTTGTGAGATAGCCCGGAAGAAAGAGTCAATCCGAACGTTTGCTGCCTGACTGCAGTTAGATCATTGCGGGGAAATTCCTAAAACTCCAGCCGAGGACGTGGAACTTATTTTCCTTCCTTAATTTGGAGTCCCATTTCCTCACAGTTGGCTGCCGTCAGAATTATTCCTTTCGACCCGCCCAACGATCCTTTCGAGAAGGCCTGGGGAGTGGAATCACCTCGTTTTCTGGATGAGGAAGCTCCGAGGCTGGTGGCGTTGGCCCAGAGGAAACGGGACGCGGATGCCCCGAGTCTAGCCAGTGGCTTCTTCTCTGCGCGGCCTGCAGAAGCCTCTCCCGACACAGCCCCGCCCGGCGGGCCGGCCCCCTCTAGATGTAAGCATGGTGCGCTCGAAACCAAACGGAGCGCACGGCGACGTGTGGGAACCATGACAGTGCCTGGAAGGCACGAGTAAACGTAGGCGCTTGGTCTGGATTTTTTCTATCTAGCGTACCCACTGGCTAAGTCCCTGGCTGTCTGTGATGGACGGGGATGAAAGAAGAAGGACCTTGCTTCGTAGTCACGTCCCGGGGAGGTGCTCGCACGCAGAGCAGCAGGAAAGCCTGTCCCCCCAGACTATGATAAATAATTTCTGAGCCCGTCTTCCCATGGCTGTCTGTCTTCCTCAGGCTCGTTCACAAGTAAATCCCTGCGATCGCGCTCCGAGTGTGCGCGCGGGGAGCGCCCTGGGGCGGAGGCCCCTCTGTCCGGCGGTTCTGCCGCTCCTGATTTTCTCGGGACCGGGAATCTGGTTCTGCCCGGCCCGGGATGCTGTGGTTGCTCCCACCCGTCCTCAGGCCCTGGCGCGTCCGTGAATTTCCCCAACTTCCCGCCCAGAGTCTGAAGCCTGAGAGTGAAATTTATAGATCTAACCCCGCCCGCCACCCTCGCAAGGGCTAACCTTCTCTTCCACTTCCCGGTATCACCTACAGCTCATACTTCACATCGGCGGATCACTGCCTCCAAGACATAGGACACAATGAGTCCATCGGACCCCTTCCCATGTTCGCGGATAGCTTAACGGGCCTGTGAAAATAGCACAACCTCGGGAAAACGCGTCCCGGTCAGGCCCCGGGCTTTCAAGGTCAGCATCCTGGGGGAGGCGGACGGACGAGGGTGGGGGAGGGGATTCAGTGGAGGCTTTTCTCAAATACTGGAAAGAGCACACACACCTGCCCACCCTGCAAAGGTTACTGAAGTCTCTTTCGGTCTGCTGGAATTTTTTTTAATGTAGTTGAAGAGAAACGCCTTGTGTGTTACCTGTAGTGAAGTCGGAGTGGGTACAGAATTGTTCTTAAAAGCGTCACTAACCTTCGTTAGTAGGAACCTCTTGGTTATTCCCTGTGTACCATAAAACATATACCCTAATTGCCTCTTTTCCAGCAACCAGGACTGTTCAGGGGTGAGACACTTAGCAAAATCAATCAAATTTTGGAATTTATTTTGGGATTTTGACTGCTGCCCAGGATTCACAGGCGTCATACAACACAACACTTCACCAGCACACGCACATCCAGGAGGTCCGTGCATCTTTTCTATTACCCTTAGTCAGCATTTGCACCCAGGTTCATCTCATCCAGTCATCTGCTGGGAGCATCACGTTTCTTGGAGTCAGGTGGAACAGGGTTTGATCCCCAGCTGGGCTGCTTGGGCAACTTTAGAAAGTCAATGAGCTTTTCAAAGCCTGTTTCCTCATCTGGAAAATGAACTTGATAAAACATACTCCATCGAAATCTTGTAAGGATTAAATAGGATACGTTAGGTAAAGTGTTTTGCAGAGGAGCTGATGGTATTTAAACACAGGTTAACACTTCCTCAAAGGAACGTCTCACCCCAGGGGATCTGTGTGATCCTCGTGACAATGCCTCGAAATAGGACCTGCACCTGTGGAGAAGGTGTTGGGGTGTGTGGTAGAGTCTTCCGGAGGTGGGGTAGGGACCGGAAGAAAGAGGAAATCAACTTTCCCCAAATACAAGGTACCCCTTGTCACACAATAAGGGTGACATGATTCCAAGTGACATTTGTTTCAAACAACTGAATATGCCACATTGTTCTACATTCAGTGACTCAGAAATGTGGACCCATATCTTTCATGATCAAATCTGAGCAAAGATATAAAGCTATAAAAATTATTAAGAATGTCCATCTGAAGCCCCAAACCAGGGTAAAACACTTTCGAGTGCAAAAATGTATCATGCTTTAAAAATCTTGAGAGAATTATCAGGTGCTAGAATGGAAACAGCTTCTTTACATGGAAGCATGAAGAAAGTGTCATTTTTCTGAAGCATAATCATGGGTAGCTGTAGTACATTTCCATATCTGTTTACAATCTTCTTACATGAAACAATTTAAACGTGATCTGCAGCTGATAATGAAGGTTGTTGAAAGTCACTAGAGTAATTAAAATGATTACCTAACTTCAGAGCTTCTGTATATCCTCTTGGTGTTTATTTTCATCTAATCTCTCTAATTATTTGTGTAACAAAGTGAGCATTGCTTCTTCTGTACTAGTGAAGCCTTGGATGGCTGGCATCGGCTACTGTGTTTCAGCATTCAGCTGCTGTTCTCAAATAAACAGAGGTTAAAAAAAAAACCCTCATCTGGGGAGTTAACAAACAACATAATCACTAAACGTTTGCATTTTGCCTTGGTGAGTAATATGCAACTGTTACTTCGGCAGCAACAAGGCTGCAGCCCGATTAGTGCTCTGTATAGAACTGATCCCATGTGACATTTGAGCCTGGGTTCTGCTAGTGTGACTAAATCAGCCTTCACGTGAGCATTTTGGAACTTCCTTGACATTCTTAGTCAAGTGAGAAGGAGATCAAGAAAAAAAGCTATACACAATTAGGTATTTGTAAATATTTGTATAATGTTATGGGAATGCAAATCAGGTTGTAAGAAGAATCAGCTAACTCATGTGGGAATAATAATGTAATGGGGACGGTATTGATCATCAATACCCACCCGTGTGTGAACATAAATATTTTCTGATAAAATATCAGATACAATTATGTGAAAGAATGATAATAAATAATAATTATAAATATAAATAATAATTAATAAAAATAATAAATAATTCGAATAGTCCCAAATTCCAGGGATACATGACAACTTCATTGATCACTGTCAGAAAAATGACATCCAACCCACAGATTAAATGGCTCATTTGGTTAATTTATTTTCATGATCTGGATCCTTTTCAAATTTCAACTCTGGCCTAGAATTGTTCTAAATTTTAATGCTTCCTTAAAATTGTAGACATTTGCAGCTGTTATGTACAAAATGTGACATTAGAAGTAGTTTGTCAGTAAAACTATTTTTGTAGGATGGGTTGGGATCAAGTTTATTCAGCAAAAGTGGTTTTCTTGAAAATTAGAAATTGGCAGTTTATCCTAATAATTTCATTTAGTTTGAATAATAGCGGAAGATAAAACATGCCAGCGCTCCTCCTTTTCTCTTTATTAATGAATTAGGATGCACAAAAGAACAATAAAACATGCGTAAGGCATATTAGCGTCCTTTATATCTTTTCCCCTCACTATCTTAAGTATTGGCATTTACGTTAAAATGGTAATTTGTTAGAAATAGGATTTTTCCGTAAAACTACATAATCTACCTTTCACAGTTGTCATGAGAATCAAAAGAAATAATGCAGGTGAAAATATGTTAAACACTGTAAAGTCATTTATACATGCAAAATACAATGAAACAAGATTGGCCGTGAGTTGATAATTGTTGAAGCCAGGATATTACACATGGCGGTTCCAATATTATTGGACCTATTTATACATGTTCCAATATACATGTTCCAATATTATTGGACCTATTTATACATATTTCAA